GAACCCACTCTGCCCCTGTGTCCCAGTCACTGAATGGACCCTCAGTTCTCCCTCCGGGTGATGTTACCAGCACTCAGAGCCCTGCCCTGCATCCTTCTGAACAAGATGGTCCAGTTTCTGGATCTCTCCTTATTCCTGCCCCCAGTTCCTTAAAGCCCAATTCACTTATCTAGGATGTTGCTATGTTGGATTAAGGGCTCAAGAGACTTTAAAGGATTTTATCTACTGATTTGTTTTTGTGCTTTTAAAGCCATTTGGGAAGGATTTCGTGTTTGTGTCTCATAAATTTAAAAGCAAGCTGCTAATTTCATCATTTCTCTTAAAGGGTGTTGATCCAAAAGATGGAATTCCATACGAGAAGAAATTCTGTGAAGGTATGAATTGTAAAAGTCAGTGTACTTATTCCAATAGGATATTCTTTTCTAGTCTGAGTCAGATTGAAGCAAACAGACCATCCAAGTGAGGAAGTGCCTGATGCTACAACGTAATGTTGACCAATTTACATTTATTTTCGTGACAAATTAGAAAATGACATGAAAAAGATTATAGACAAATGAGGCAGAACCAAGACAAAGCAAAACTGAATTTTTTTAATTGATTCCTTTTTGGGGGAATTGGAAACTTTAATGATAATATTAGAAAAGGCTGTAAGAGAGATAACAGGGTAACTGAAATCCAGCACTTCTCCAAATAAGAAAATAAGTGGAGGTGATAATTTTCAGTCTTCTCTGTGTCCTCCTCCATACACTACAAGGTCAGATGTCTAGACTTGTACTGACAGAGCCCTTGTGTCGACTGGGCTGAAGACTCATATCTGGGTGACTTGATGGAGACCTCCAAGCAACAGCCATTGAGAGTTCCCAAAAATGCCTGAGCAAAAGCTCTGTATTCTAAATGCCCAATGCCACATACACCTGGGCTACCAGTGTTCTTAGGAGGAACCTATTACCACCCACATAATACTGAAAACATGGTACTGGTGATGCCCAAAGAGTCTCAAACAAGACCCTATGGTAGCATCACTGTTTTAAGTTTAGACAATGCTTTCCCCTAACATTTAGAAGCATTTCATTCATTCATTCATTCAACAGATATTTCCTGAACACCTATTCCTATTAGGCACCAAGGGCTATACTTGGCTATGAGTTTTTATGGGCAGACGTGATACAGTCCTTGCCCTCAATCAGCTTAAAGTCTAATTGTCTGTAAGCTATTAGAAGGACAGGATGGAGGTAGAAAATGTAAGGACCCGACACATAGTAATGCAGTTTAGAAATGCTTGTTGGATGAATAAAAGAATGCATTAACAAATAGACAAATGAATAAGTAAACTCAGATCTAAGTGAAATCCTGGTGTGAGGCTCTGGGTTCACTGTGGGAAGCCTCTTGGATTCCCCAAATCCCAACCCCTCCTCAATGTCCTGGGCCTTCTCAGTCCCCATTTGTGTGGCCAAGTGCTAGCTGTCACAAAGTCCCAAGATAGGGAGCCGCTGGAGTGAGGCTGGGCCATCCTTGGCTTGATTTGGGGCCTTTGGAGGCGGAGGAGGTAGGCTCTCCTCTCTGACTCTGAGAGGCACTGATTGATTCTTTCAGGATCTTAAGGGATTTGGAAGAGTTCATGCATCACCCATGGATGAATGATTCATGTAGATGGGCCTTAGAATCAGATTAAGTGATTCTTAACCTCCAAACATATAGGGCTGCAGAGAGATTTTATCTCTCCATCTCCCCACTAATCAACCATAATTATCCATCCAGTGCTTTTGTATATATAAAGGATATTAAAAGACCATAACATCTTTGAAAAAAATCAAAATTGCTCCATGAGATTACTGATTCCTAAAGTGGATATTAGCAGAAATGAGTGTGTTCTCCAAGGAAGCAATTTTCAGAACCAAAATTTAGGGCATATTTCTGAGTTCAGATAATGTTTTGATGCTTTTATTCATCTATCATTCACTCAAGATGTTGCACAGGAGTTTGTTTTATGCTGAGCTAGGAAGCACACCTGCATCTGCACAGCTTAGCTGGCAGTTTCAATGGCCTGGAAATCTCATTCAGCTCCTAAATGCTATGCCCCTCACTCTCCAACACTCGAAAAGTGGCAATGCATCACTGTTACGATGCTCTATGCACAGAATACACACCAGGGTATGTGCTCACCTAACTACCCAATCTGGAGGCTCCAAACTACTTGAACGCATAAATAATGCAAATAAATTGTGCCACCTAGGTTCACAGCCCAGGGGAATCATTTTGCTGGGAGACTCAGCTGGGGCTCATTTTCACATCCCTCCCGATTGGATCACAGCTTCACAGATGTCTTTGGTAAGTAATTTTGGCAGTAATCATGCGGGATGTGCTGGCCTCTGTGTTTGTTTCCCCCTTGCTCTCTATAAATGTGATGCCAAATCCAAACAGGTGCAAATTTCCCTTCTCAGCACAATCTGCCATCAAAGGCACATCCATAGCCATTTCAGTTCAGTTCAGTTCAAACACTGTGATACGAACAACAGGCTCATAACAAGAGCTATCTCGTCCATTAGAGAAGGAGGATGGTGCCCCTGCTGGGTGGAAAGGAAACTTGGGCATAGTGGGGAAGCCCTTGTTGTACAGTCACCTCGGGATGTAGTTCTCTCTTCAACCTCCTATAAAATGAAAACGCTGATCCAGGGAAGTTAAACTACAAGAACCATACATTCTTCTTTGATCCCTTTTCTCACACTGAAGAAATCAGACATGAACCTGAATACTCTCTGATGGAACCTCTCCCAAGTTCTAAAACTGGGCAAACACAGACCTCCCTTGTAAAATGAGCAAACAGAGAAACATTTGAACATAGAAAAAATGTTCATGGTCTCCAAAGAAAAGAACTCTTGAAAAAAGCTTGCTATAGGAAAGTGAATTTTGTAAGATATTAAATCCAGATTCTCAACAATAATGTGAGGAGATTATACTCATGAAAAAGGAACAATCTGAGGTTAGGGAAGACTACTTTTAGGTGAAACAATAATGACCTGATATAAAAATGTGATGGCCATACTGACTAGCAAGTTGGACAATGTAAAAAACAGGGTGAGAAAACCAGTCAGCCAAATTCTGGAACTCACATGAGAGGCATATAGGATAGGTCCAGGAGATTGAATAGGAAACCCCGGGGAGGTGAACACATCAGACAGAGAGGAAGTGGTGACCAAATAAACAACAAAAGATAATTTTCTTGAGTTGAAGAAATCCTTGACTTTAATCCAAAACCCCACTGAACTCCAGAGAATATAAAAGAGACTCTCCTCGTCATGTCTTGCTTTTCCATCATATTCCAAATATAAAGAAAAATCTTGCAATCATTCAGCCCAACAAACAACCAGGGGACATACTAGGAGGAAAAATCCTTTTGACATCAGACTTATCTTTCAATGATAAATTTCAGAAAATAGTGGAACGACCTCTACAACATTTTGAGGATAGTGTGTCAAAACTGCTCCAGCTGCCAAGATATGGTTCCTACATGAAGGCCGCAGAAATGTATTCTCAGTCATTCAAAGATTCAGAAAATATAACAGATTTATGCTTTCCTGAAAAAGATTATTTTAAGAAGTATTCCAATCTCTCTGAGCATGATATAAAAGCAAAGCCAAAAAGAGGTATTACTAGATTTAATTACATGAAATCTTCAAATGTATACAATGTCCAAAAATTCATAAAATTAAAAGACAAATGAAAAACTAGAGCAATATTTATAACATATAAGACAAGATTTAAATTCTCTAATAACAAAGAGTTCCTGCATAGCAATAAGGAAAAAACAATTTAATTTTTTAATGATCAAGAACGTGACCAATAAATATAAACAACAGTTTCATCTTCAGTAGTAATCAAAGAAAAACAAATTAAAACAACAATGAGGTATCATCTATCATCTGTCAAATAAGCAAACGTTAAAAAGTGATAAAGGCCTACTTTTAACAAGAATATGGTGAAGAGGACATGTTCCTTCACCACTAATGAGAGTTTAAGTTGCTAGAACTTCTCTGACAGGCAACTTGACAATATGCATAAAAGTGACGTTATAACATTTGTGATTTTAACAAGTAATTCTGCTTCTGAAAATTTCTCTTTAAAACTAAGCAGTCATTTGCTCAAGAATCTATGTACATGAGTATTCATCAAAGAGTTATTTATAAGAGCAAAAATGAACAAAGAAATTCAAAAAAAAATAGGGGATTAGGGGTGGAGTCAAGATGGCATACTAGGAGGATGTGGAATTTGCGTCTCCTCACAACTAGGGCAGCTACCAGGCACCAGTGGGGGACCACAGACACCTAAGGGGATAGGAGGAACCCCCAGCAACTGGTGATCTCTCCTTTTGGCTTGTTGCCCACCCCCCTTTTTTTTCTTTTTTCTGCTTTGGTTTTATTTTACCTTGTTGCAGTTGTTTCAATTATAGTTTTATTTTTCCTAATATATTTTTTATCTTTCTAATTTTATTTCGTTTTTTATTCTTTGATATTGTACTGCTCCTTTCTTCCTTTTTTTTTTTAACCATGCCACGAAGTTTGCAGGATCTTGGTTCCCAGGCCAGAGGCTGGGCCAGAGCTCCCGTGTTAGGAGCTCCAAGTCCAAACCGCTGGACTAACAGAGAACCTCAGACCCCAGGAAATATCAATCAGAGTGAGGCCTCCAAGAGGTCCTCATCTCAGCACCAAGACTCAGCTCTATCTAACTGCCTGCAAACTCCAATGCTGGACGTCTCAGGCCAAACAACCAGTAAGACAGGAATACAGCACCACCCATCAAAAAATTTTTTAAAAAAGAAAGAAATGACAAAAAAATACGTTACAGACGAAAGAGCAAGATAAAAACCTACAAAACCAAATAAATGAAGATGAAATAGGCAAGCTACCTGAAAAAGAATTCAGAGTAATGATAGTAAAGATGATCCAAAATCTCAGAAACAGAATGGAGAAGATACAAGAAACATTTAACAAGGATACAGAAGAACTAAAGAGCAAACAAACAATGATGAACAACACAATTACGGAAATTAAAAATACTCTAGAAGGAATCAATAACAGAATAACTGAGGCAGAAGAAAGGATAAGTGAGCTGGAAGATAAAATGGTGGAAATAACTGCCAGGGAGCCGAATAAAGAAAAAAGAATGAAAATAATTGAGGACAGTCTCGAGACCTCTGGTCCAATATTAAACACAACAACATTTGAATTATAGGGGTCCCAGAAGAAGAAGAGAAAAAGAAAGGGTCTGAGAAACTATTTGAAGAGATAATAGTAGAAAACTTCCCTAACATGGGAAAGGAAATAGTCAATCAAGTCCAGGAAGCACAGAGAGCACCATACAGGATGAACCCAAAGAGAAACACGCCAAGACACATATTAATCTAACTATCAAAAATTAAATACAAAGAAAAAAATATTAAAAGCAGCAAGGGAAAAGCAACAAATAATATACAAGGGAATCCCCATAAGGTTAACAGCTGATTTTTCAGCAGAAACTCTGCAAGCCAGAAAGGAGTGGCAGGACATATTTAAAGTGATGAAAGGGAAAATCCTACAACCAAGGTTACTCTACCCAGCAAGGATCTCATTCAGATTCAGCAGAGAAATTAAAACCTTTACAAACAAGCAAAAGCTAAGAGAATTCAGTACCACCAAACCAGCTTTACAACAAAATGCTAAAGGAACATCTCTAGGCAGGGAACACAAGAAAAGGAAAAGACCTACAATAACAAACCCAAAACAATTAAGAAAATGGTAAGAGGAACATACATATTGATAATTACCTTAAATGTAAATGGATTAAATGCTCCAACCAAAAGACATAGACTGGCTGAATGGATACAAAACAAGACCCATATATATGCTGTTTAAAAGAGACCCACTTCAGACCTAGGGACACATACAGACTGAAAGTGAGGGGATGGAAAAAGATATTCCATACAAATGGAAATCAGAAGAAAGCTGGAGTGGCAATTCCCATATCAGACATAATAGACTTTAAAATAAAGGCTATTACAAGAGACAAAGGACACTACATAATGATCAAGGGATCAATCGAAGAAGAAGTTATAACAATTGTAAATATTTATGCACCCAACACAGGGGCACCTCAATACATAAAACAAATGCTAACAGCCATAAAAGGGGAAATCAACAGTAACACAATCATAGTAGGGGACTTTAACACCCCACTGTCACCAATGGACAGATCATCCAAAATGAAAATAAATAAGGAACACAAGCTTTAAATGATACATTAAACAAGATGGACTTAATAGATATTTATAGGACATTCCATCCAAAAACAACAGAATACACTTCTCAAGTGCTCATGGAACATTCTCCAGGATAGATTATATCCTGGGTCACAAATCAAGCCTTGGTAAATTTAAGAAAATTGAAATCATACCAAGTATCTTTTCCGACCACAATACTATGAGACTAGATGTCAACAGCACAGTAAAAGGATCATACACTACGATCAAGTGGGGTTTATCCCAGGAATGCAAGGATTCTTCAATATATGAAACCAATCAATGTGATAAACCATATTAACAAATTGAAGGGGGAAAACTGTATGATCATCTCAATAGATGCAGAAAAAGCTTTTGACAAAATTCAGCACCCAATTATGATAAAAACTCTCCAGAAAGTAGGCATAGAGGGAACTACCTCAACATAATAAAGACCATAGATGACAAACCCACAGCAAACATCATTCTCAATGGTGAAAAACCGAAAGCATTTCCTCTAAGAACAGGAACAAGACAAGGTTTCCCACTCTCACCAATATTATTCAACATAGTTTTGGAAGTTTTAGCCACAGTGATCAGAGAAGAAAAAGGAATAAAATGAATCTAAATCCAAAAAGGAGGAGTAAAACTGTCATTGTTTGCAAATGACATGATACTATACATAGAGAATCCTAAAGATGCTACCAGAAAACTACTAGAGCTAATCAATGAATTTGGTAGAGTAGCAGGATATAAAATTAATGCACAGAAATCTCTGGCATTTCTAAACTCTAATGATGAAAAATCTGAAAGAGAAATTAAGGAAACACTCCCACTTGCCACTGCAACAAAAAGAATAAAATACCTGGGAAAAAACCTACCTAAGGAGACAAAAGACCTGTATGCAGAAAACTATAAAATACTGCTGAAAGAAATTAACGATGATACAAACAGATGGAGAGATATACTATGTTCTTGGATTGGAAGAATCAACATTGTGAAAATGACTATACTACCCAAAGCAATCTACAGGTTCAGTGCAATCCCTATCAAACTAACATTGGCATTTTTCACAGAA